TGCCACACAACAGAAGTTGTAAGGCGTTGATACTTCACTTTCTCCCTTGTAGGAGGTACAGAGGGGGCGTCCACAATTTAGCTCCGTTGGATTTGTAGTTTCAGTTGGAAATTCCGTCACCGGACTAGTAGGTGTTTCTTCTATCCCGAATCAACTTCTACTTTTTCACCTGAATTTTCATCAAGATTAAGATTCATATTACCATAACATCGTTCTAAAATTTCATGATCGAATTGAACATTTGCATCAATATCATAAGAAGTATCATCAACATAAGTAGAATCATTTGTATTAAATCTAACTCTAGACATTGATTTAGAAGAAGTACCACCACATTTACTTTTATTTTTTTCCTTACTACTTTTTTTATTAAAATTAAATAAATTACTAAGGGTGTTTGCTACTTTCTCTTTTCCTTTACCGGTATCTTTTTTGCTAGAACTCATATTTAATTAAATGTGAAGTGTAATATAAAATAAATAATGATACAAAAATTAATTGCGAAAAATAAAATATAAATATTATGAAACGAATGTACCAAAGGTCTGCGTTAATAGCAGACGTTATAACCGATTCTTGAAGCTTGCAGTTTGTTGTAACTTATAATTTGAAACTCCAATACTTGATAGCAAATATGAGAATTAATATATTATGATATAATATGAAAATTTAGAATTGAAATATATATATTATGATATAATATGAGAATTAAATGGAATAAAAAATTAAGACTTAAGAATGAGAGGATATAGAAAATAGATGATTTTGTAAGAAATAATGAAGGATAGGGAAATTTATAATATTAAAAATGGGTTAAAGTGTATTTATTATAACTTTAGGGTTTAAGTTAAAGTTTTAAAAGTAGGGGGTGGTAGGGGGTGTTGGGGAAGTGAAAAGGCTGAATAAATCTGTTGAGGGCCCACTAGTTATTGCCCCAACGGTCCCCAACGAATATAATTTGAAAAATAAAAAATAAAAAAAAGGGATCTCGCGAAACAGGCCTGTTTAGCCAGGCCAGAACCGGATCGGGTCGACCGGGACCAAAGGGTGAACCGTCCCCTAACCGATCCCCCTACCCTAAATCCCCCCAGACCGCGAACAGTAACGGGACTGGATCTGGCAAGACGAGTCTCGAGCCGGACGACCCGGTCCCATTGCCAACCCTAATTCAAGGCGAGTTTAGTTAAAGATGCAAGCAATCTGACGATAATAAAAAAAAAATTTAGATAGATATGAGATAAGACGCAAGTACCTCTATAGGCTATGACAAAAATCTCAGAAACACCTTAGAATAAACTAAGGTCATATTACCTCCGAATTCATTTTTTGTAATTTTATATAATAACTTTTGTCCTTTATGGAACACTCAGTGATTCCACGTAGTTAATGTGTGTGAGAGATGTCTGGATGCCAAGCAAATCTCACTAGAGCATATTGTAAACATAATACACATTAATGAAAAAACCCTCGATAAATGATAGTGGAAACTTCACACATTGTGATACCTTTGTCCACTACCAACATGACCAAGGGCCAAACGAAAAAAATAGCCAACAAGATCCAATTATTCGATGTTATACTATCTGTGTTTGGCATATAATTGTGGTAAATGATTTTCATTTCTCAAATCACTATTTATTGTGTGTAACTTTAGAGGAACAACATGACAAAATCTCAAGACCTTCGAATTTTGAATCAATTGACCGCTCCAATAAATGTATGGCAAAGCAAGAAAAATATCAAAGGCACTACCTAGCTGAAAAAATCACAATTTTTATTGAGTATTATTCAATTTGATAATAGTTATTTGTTAGTCTAGTTATTTTGTTTATAGTGTCAGAAGATTGTGGGAGCACAATGTTTTTCTCCTCCCTTTATCTGTCATGTTCAATGCTCATTTTGGTATGAAATAAAGTTTAGCTCTCAAGAAAAAAAAAAAGATCATATGCAAAAAGTATGTCTCACATTTCTTATTATATAATTTGGTATATGTTCTTTTAAGTTAATAAAATACGAGACATTTGTTTCAATACAACACATTGGCATTTGTTCTTAAAAATCTTGTTGATAGATATGAATATTCAAATAGTTTAATTCAAAGTTCAAAAAGATCATACAAATTTTATGACTATATAACATAAGAAGATAATGAATATTTTAAAATATAAATTGTAACTTTGTGATTCATATAGTAACTTTTTGCGAGTGTCTAGTAACACTCCCCAACTCATGCACACATTATACAAGGTATAGTTATTTCGTCGTTAATCCATAGCTAAATATTATTCGTAGCTAGCAAATTTTTGTTATGCATTTTGAATTTTTGACTTAACGTACTCATAGCAAAGCTTCGAGTATAAATCCCCTTCTGGTCAAAACTTGAAGTTTGTCATGGACAAGTGGGGTTAAAATTTCAATATTAATCACCTCCAAGGTCATTTTAGTAATTAAATTGAAGTTGTTGTCGCTAATTTTTGTATGTCGAATTGTCGATATAGTACTATTTATTTTGTAGCCTATAAGCTAATCTAATTTTTATTCATTATTATAAAATCTTAGTAGCTCATTTGGTTAGCTACCTAAACTTCACCTGAGTTTGATTCCTGCATGGTAATCCCCTCCCATTTCTCCTTCCTCTGCTCCTATTCTTTTTTTTAAAAATAAATAAATAAAAGATCATGTTCTTTGATTATCCAAGTTTTTTTAGTCTCTCTATTTAAGCCATTAAACATAATGCACATTTATTTATTCAAACAAAACGCTATTTATTTATTGAATTTAAATCATATACACTAGGGAGTGTAAAGAAGTATCCTCACATTATCAAGCTTTTTGGGGGCTAATTACTACTTACTAGGAGGATACTATTATACTAATATATAGTAGTTACTTTTTTTAGTTGATCATCAGTATATTTTAAGTTTTTGCATTTACTTACCTATGTTATGTTGCACCACATTGGAAGATTATCAGTACTTAGAGCCATTCCAGAGGAAGTGTAGATGAATTATTCTTACCAAATTTCTAGGCAAGAAGCTAGGAGCTTGAAGTCTAATAGGGAAGAATTGAAAGTTTTTGGACCAGGATCTAGGTCTAGTAGGGACAATATGCTTAGAAATTTAATATAATGTTGTAATGTGAAAAGAATTTAACAAAAAATATGTTGAACTCTATCTTATGTTAAAACGGGATAGGAAGCTTTCGGCGGACACAAGCCCTCGGGACTTGACACTTGGACACCGGGAAGCTTGCCCCAGGGTCCTTCGTTTGGAACTGCCCTTTTCCTTTCCAAAGTTCTCTAATAATGAGTTAATAAAAATGTATGTTTCAGCTATGATTATTTATGAACCTCTGTGATAGTGAGAGTCTTTGTTCTTTGGGTGAACACTTTGTGTACAGGCATCGAATATGATCGATCTTGAGTCATTCGTGTGAATGTCTACTGATCATGTATACCCTTCAAATCAATTTAGTCATCCTGATATTTTTGTGACAGTCTCTATTCTTTGGGCGAACACTTTGTGCGCACATGCATCAAGGAGGATCGACCTTGAGTCATTCAGGTGGATGTCTACTCATGTTCACTCTTTTAATCAATTGAGTCATCCCGATAGTTCATTAAAAAGGAATGATACATTTTTAAATTTAATAATATAAAATTATTAATTTTAAAAGTTGTACCATTACACAAATACTATGAAATGTTGAATCCATCGATTTTTTCTATCCATATAAATATTATGATATATATAAATTAAAATTAAAAGTTTTGAATTTTTTTTTATCATCAGACTAATAGTATGAAATGTTCAGACTATCAATTTTAAAAGTTGTTAATCCAAAACAGACTTGCTGGATGACATAATGAAACATTAATTCATTTTCCATCTAGAAAATATATCAGATATGGTCTGTTCGAGAAGCTTAATTAAATGGATCTTTGATTTGAATTTTATTGTTAATGGAATTTATTTTAATAAATCTATTTTTCATTGGTGATAAAAGTTGAAGTAATTACCAAAAAAATTGTCAATTCTTTCTTTGTCAAGGAACTATAGTATATAATAAAATATGAGTGTGTCTATCACATTTCAAAGTCTTCACTTGACATTAAACATAAAATAAATTGAAAAACAGAAGCATTGGTGTTTGAACAATTCAAAAGAATCTACTCAGATTTGAGATTGACCATAAATAATTACCTTCCATATTAGTATGCTCAAATCCTAGTCAATTATTTTAACTTAATTACTTACCCAAGGTCGAATTTCATACAAATATTTTAAATTAGCCTTTGCAAGTCATATCATATTTTAGGCCAAAAAAGTCCAATATTTAGCCTTTATAAGAACACACTTCATGCAAATATATCTCACGACAAACATAAAATTTCAACTTCAATTGCATATGTCCAAAGTTATCCTCCAATATAGAGACAAAAAACAAGGAAGTCTACTAATCTAATAAGATACTAATTAGGTCAAGTCTAATTTTAAAATATAATTGAAGTAGACTAGTAAGTTTATATATTTTTATATAGAAATAAAATGTGGAATATCGGGTCAAAGTTCCCAATTTCATATTGAAATTTTGTTAGCCAAAAAAATGAGATTTATGACTCGTTTGGTGCAAAAGATAAAGGAATAGTTAATTTTGGAATTAATTTAGATCTGATGTTTGCTTAGAATAAAATCGCGGTACAACTTAGAATAATGTTATTTTATTCTATATTAAAAACAAAATAACAAATCAAAGAAAATTAATTACAAAATAATTAATCTCAAAATAACTTGTTTCTCGATCAAACTAGAGTGAATCCGATTTATCTTTTCACCCTAAATAACGGATATTTGAATTTCTTTGAAATTTCGATGAAATAACACAATCTCTTTCTAGACGTATTAGTTTATCTACTTGTCCAAATCCTTGTTAATTAAGCAACTCCCTACATTTTCTCCTATTTATTATTTCTACCCCACAAATTTCCAACCTACACCGCGTAACTTAAAACCCGAAAACCATTTCTCTTTCTTCAATAAGTTTTCCCCCAAAATAAAGAGAGAGGAAATTTTTTGCTAATTTTCTTCAATTTTTTCTTCTCCAATGGGGCAGCAGCAATCCAAAGGCGAGCTTCTGTATCAGCAAGTTAATTATGGAAATGTTGAAGGTATCAAATCTCTCCACCGTGAAGGCGCTGGACTTGAGGTATTGTAGTTTTTTTTTTCTTTTTTTCTTTTTGTGTAATTTGAGTGTTTATGTTATCTGAATGTTTTTGTTTGAATTAATATGATTTTTGATTAAAAAAAAATAATCTAATTTTGGAGATTTTTTTAAAGATTTTTGAGTGGAAAGAGTTATGAATTTGATGAGATTGAGTTGTTATAGTTATGAGAGACTGTGAATTTAGTTAAGATTGATGGTTGACTGAAGTTAATTTTGGATTTTAATAGCTTAGTTATGGTTTATTTGATTGATTATTATATATCTGTGGTGGAGTGTTGACTGTTGATCATTTCTGCTTTATTGTGGTAAAGATGTAAACTTGAAGCTATAATTATATCAATCAAATGAGCTATGACTCCATCTGAACTAATTAGGATCCACGGTATGAATGGTCGGGTATCGATCCGCTCTATGCAGGAACATTTCTATTTCACAAATTCATCATGATTAGACTATTTTTATGCTGGCAGTCAATGTACCCAAAGCTTCCTCCTTAATTTGGATTTAGGACTAGTTATGCTTTGTGATGTTCACGTAGATAGTGTTTGTGTTTATTATGATCAAGAATATTGCAGGAATTTGTTGTTATAATGTGTTAAATGGGTTGGTTTCAGTGGATAGATAAGGAAGGGAAGACACCGTTGATTGTGGCGTGCATGAATCCAGGGCTTTACAATGTTGCAAAAGCTTTGATAGAATTGGGTGCCAACGTCGATGCTTACCGTCCAGGTAATGATCTTTTCTGATTGTATGCTAAAATGGTAAGTTGTGGTTGTGATTTAACCAGGAAATTTCTGTGTTATAATGGAGTGGATTAAAAGAGAGAAAATTCATGGAGCTGATTGACAGGTTTTTCTTTTGTGTATGTAACTGGGGGCAGGAGTGTTTCGATATGACTTGTTAGACTTCATATTAAGTAACTAATTCTTGCATCTATTTTATGAGAAAATTATCAATGCTAATGTTTTTTGGGAATAATAACAGTATGATCAATTCTAGTGTTATGAAATGGTAATAGATTTGTTTTAGAAATACTCCCCAACATTAACATATTTTACATGCTTTCATTTCATTCATCATAACACACTCCCCCTTTTCTCTTAAATAGGTCACCAGCATATAAAGTAATGGTAGTTTATTTTAGTGGTGATATTATCTTTTCAGCTAACTGTAAAACCTGCTGACATTTGAATTTATCGTTTAGAAATTAGAACAACTTGTTTAACTGTGAAATGGAACCTCTTTGGCCAAGAGGTTGGGAGCCAAAAACACTTCTTCTCTTTTTTGAGAAAAGCACACCTTTTTTGAAAAGTTGAGGTGTTTGGCCAATCAGTAAAACTGCTAATAAATAGAAGCAAAGTAGTTCTCCAAGGTTGGGAAGAAGCTAAAAGTTTCTGCTTCTTCAAAAAAGTAAAAGCAAAAAATTATTTTTTCCAAGGCAAAAGTATCACTACCATTTATACGTATTTTCCAATATATCCCTCATTAATTAATTAGCATATTCAGAAGATGCAAAGTCACAAAATATCATTTAATTACTTTACCAAAAAAAATAAAAATTAGCATATTCATAGGTTTTGTGAAGTTCCATTTTGATCTAGATTCAAATGAAGTGTCCTGAATTTATCAGGATACTTGTATTTCATTTGTTTTAAATTTCCAAATTTATTTTGTCACACCATATAATGTGGCACTCAGCTCTTATGTAGGAAACAATGTTTGTATTTACATAACCAGTGATGTTCAACTGTTCTGTATATTATGGATATCTGTTTGATCCTTCTTTAATACCTTTATATACATCTTTAGGTCGTCATGCGGGGACTCCTCTACATCATGCAGCAAAAAGAGGCCTTGAGCAGACGGTTAAGTTACTCCTTTCACATAGAGGTATAACTACTCAAACTGGTACATTTGTTGACTGATTCTTTTATGCTATCAGCCCCTTTTTGACTTGTTTGATTTCCTTTTGTCTCATGTATCTTAAGCTAATGCATTGATAATGAATGATGACTGCCAAACTCCCCTTGATGTTGCCAGAATTAAAGGTTTCAGCAATGTTGTTCGTGCAATTGAGGTATATGTTCACACTTCAGTTTTATATTTCTAATTCAGTCCTTAAACTTATGCGAGGATAATGTTCTAATTTTTATTTTCTCACACATGTCACCCTTCTTTTTCATGTATGTGTTTAGAGCCATATTTGCTTATTTTCTGGTTGGCTACGGGAACTTTACGGGCCTGGATTCCTTGAACTATTGGCACCACAGTTGCTTAGTCGGAAAGTGTGAGTATAATGGTCATTTTATTTTCAATATAATTTTTTATAAGCAGAGCCATTTGTAGGATTTTTCTTTCAGACTTGACTAATGCATATTCAAGTGGTTATATTTAATCGAGATGGCAGGCTCTGGTGTGTGATTTCTTAGATTGGTCTCACACCTTCACATATAGTTTTTAACCTTGTTTTGCTTGTTATCCCATGTATTGGATCATTGTTGCATGGTCTTGATTTATGTATCTTATTTCTGCTGCTGCCGATTCTTTATACAGTTCAATAATTTGCTCTTGCCTTTTATTCATGTTTTACCATTACTATCAAAATGGACTTATGATGATTCCACATTTTTATAGCTGGGTGGTCGTCTTACCATGCGGTTCCCGTAACCTCAGAAAGCCTTTCAGGTTGGAGCTTGCTATATATTCAGCTGTCCAGGTAAGTTTCGTTTTCTAATCTTTTACAATGTTATAGGTGGGATCTGAAGACTGTTTATTTTTTTCATGACGGGATACTTAATCTTTTTCTTATTTGTCATAGACCTATACAGAGAAGCATATACTAACGTACTATATCTAAATTTTAATTAATGACCATAGGTTATACTGGATTGACAAACTAGATTCATATACTTGACTTCAAGTGTTAAGCAATGAGTTGAATTCATATTCTTACCTATTAGTCCTAGTCCTGAATGGTTTCCTTGGAATGCTCTCAAAAACTTTAGAAATTTGTCATCTCTACTCATAAAAGTGTACTTTTGATAAACCACATCATTTGTGAAAAAACAAAATTTGATCATTATCTTCGGGCAAAACCTTCAGGTGGACTTGCGATGTTGTGAGTCTTTAGATTCTTTCTTTTTCTAGTAGATTACATTCTTCCATACCTTTGGGTTCTGTTTGGTTAGAAATGTCAAAATCCCACTCTTTTTCATGTATTCTTTCCTGATTGCTCCTCATATCATATGCTTCTCATATGAGCTAGGGAAAACAATCTGTTTGTTGTTCTAAAAAGTCATATGGTTCATGCTATTAACGTATGTAGAGCTATATCTTGACCAGGATGCTCAGCCGCGCACAATAGTTGCTCTATGGAAGGCCAATATGGAAGAACCAAATTTCAGCCAGCCTGATTCAGCAGTTATCATATCCGATATTTCAAACAGTAATTTCCTACATTCTTCAACCAGAGTTCCTATAGCTGCAATGAAATATTTTCATTTGAAGATGTTTATTTGTTAATTTTCATGCATAGTCCCGAAGCGCTGGAGGCGAAAGCGAGGGATAATGCCCTCCCAATTGATAAAGAGTAGACTCCAAGGAGCTAGGCGTAAGTACATTGTATTCTGATATAGTAAAAGTCCCTTGGAAGAATTGGGGTGACATAGTTCATAATCAGGGGAAGGGCTATGCAATTTTTATTTAGTTTGAAAGTCACAATAAGGCAGTTCTATTACTTCCATTACTGGTAACGTAGTGCTCTAATGACAGCATGTACTAGTGTCTATACAATATACATAGATAAATGTGTGTGTGTGTGTGGGTATATATATATATATATATATATATATATATGGGGCTTCCCCCCACTTGTGGGAATACACTGGGTATGTTGTTGTTGTTGGGTCTTGAAAATTATTTATAGGGCTATGCAATGATTTGCTGAGAGCTTATTCAAGTCGGTTAGAAGTTTTGCCAGCTGTTCTAATCAAATTGCAAAGATCATTCTCTCCAAGCTTGTGCTTGACATTTAGGTTTAAGTCCTTATTGGTCAAATTTACTCCGAGTGTCTGAAATGATAATACTTTTGCATCTCATTCTCATACTGTTGTATACATACTTAAGCATCTGAGAACCATATTGTGTGTTGCTTATGCTATACCTTCACCTCAGAATTGAGAACATTATTCAAATACTTGTGTCTTAACCAAAACTGTCTGTTATGTTTATGGTAGGTCAATTTTCATTCTTTGAATATACACATGAGCTCACATCATCCCTCAAGTCTTCTTAAGTTTAGCAAATTTGGTCCAACTAGCGGAATGATACTTACTGGACCAAAAAACTAATTGTGAAACCATTTGCCACTCACATGAGCAATGGTCTAAACAGAAGGCCATACCGAGTCTTCTTCCCCAATTCCACCCCTTCTATGGTGGCACGTGGTTTCATCATTACTTGTTAGTTTCAAGGGTTAGTTGGGCCAAAAATGCTCAACTTTAGCAGAACTTGAACTATGAATGTGTTTCAACAACAACAAACCCAGTGTATTCCCACAAGTGAGGTCTGATGAATGGGTTCAGATGTATATTTAAATGATGAAAATTGACCTGCCCCAAACATAAGAAAAAAAATTGGCTAAAAACTCTCGGAAACTCCATCTGCTAGCTTAAAGATTTGAAATGATTGCTCCATTATGTACAAATGAATATATTGGCTTTGGGAACCCAGGACACAATTAACTATCTGTCTGTCGCATGATTCCGTTGTTTAAGTCAAAGAACTCATTATATCAGTATGCAACTTTAATTCTAAATCACTTTCCCACTTCCAAAATGTTGATTGCAGGAGCAAGGATCAAACTTACAGCAGTCCAGGAAAGCGAAAAGCAGCAATTGCAATCTTTCTGCAATGCATGCAAGGGCATACCTCAGGTGAAATATCAAACATCCTTTCTCTTCAAAAGCTAAGTTTGCAGTCATGTCTAGATCTACTTATTGCTTTCCAACTGATTACTAATTTATCATTATCATGAATTTGTAACAAGGACTATGCTACCAGTGAACTCATTGAACTGTGATTTTTGTAGTCATTGGCTAGCTAAAAACGTATCTTAGCTGCTCTACCATATTTTCAGGTCATGCTTCCAGCATTTCCTTTCAGTTCTCAAACCCCTGTGGTCCCTGCAACTGCTCCATCAACCACAGAGGATGTGGAATTAGCAATGGCGATTAATGCCTCTCTTCAGTCTGCTTCACAACAAAGACCAACCTATCACGAGAATCACCCAGGATCAGGAACAGAAACATCAATGGTTTGGATTAACCCTGTTGAGGTTGCCAGTCATGATGGTAGTTCTTTTACAGGGGCTTCACAGAAAGCTAGTAGTAGTGGCTGTCAAGTTGAGGACGCCAGTTCAAGTGGCACTCAAGTAGAGCAAGTCCAGGTTCCGAGTGAAACGTCTACTGTAGTCCAATCAATGCCAGAGAATCTAGTTACCGCATCTGTCCCAACAGCTCCTCCTCTTACAAATGACGTAATAGACAATGGGCCAATTCATTATCCATCAATCGACTTCAGTCCAATTGACTTGTCTTCTGTGACTGTTCAGAACTCTGGAATACACGTAAGCAAAAATCCTGATGGTGCTTCTTCATCTTGTGTAATATGCTTAGATGCTCCTGTGGAAGGAGCTTGCATCCCTTGTGGCCATATGGCTGGATGCATGTCTTGTTTGAATGAAATCAAGGGAAAGAAGTGGGGATGCCCTGTCTGTCGTGCCACTATAGATCAGGTGATAAGGCTATATGCTGTTTAACAGTTGAAGCAGCAAATGATTGAAGCAGTAAACGTAAGCAATTCGGGAACCTCATGTCCTCTTATTTGCTTGTTTTACTAGATATAATAACAAAGTAAATATGTTGAATAATGTCATTCTCTCCCAGTAACATTTCTACTCGCTTTCTGAAATAACCAAGTTTTGGGGTATTCCAACGTTTGACTAATTGGCTCTTGTTTAAGTAGATCTTGGATTCTGCTGTTAGTGTATAGCACTTGTGTTTGTTAGCAAAGGCGGTATACTTTATTATTTAGGGACCTAAAGACACTGTTGGATTGCTTTCCCATGAGTTGGCATCTTGTTTAGACATTGAACTGGAAGAAATTTTAGAGGGATGATAACCGGAGCCACGCCCTTGTTGTCTGTCAACAATTCGATTCCTGATTAAACTCTCCTGGTAACTTAGAAAAGGGAGGCAAAATGTGCTTGCTTTTGGTTAAATACAAGTTTTAGATCTACAGTTACATTATAGAAGTTCTTGCTGGCATTATCAAAAGCATCTCAGTAAATATGAACTGATAGATGTTTCCACTGTTCTGCTCAAAATTATTTTTATTTTGTAGACCTGTTGACTGTCCCGAGCAGATAGATTTTAAAATGCTACTAGATGTTCTGAGTTTGCTGAATGCATTTTCAATTTCTGATTATTCTTGATTAAATTTCACTGATTGATAAACTTGATGGTTATGAATATGATTGTTGTGCATATGAGAATGCAGTGGAATTATATTACAATATTTCTTACTAGCAGCTGATTAGCTATATACTTTTTCACTTTGCAGGCATACGCAGCGTTATTGAAAATTTGTGAGTTTTGTATCATGTATACGTATATATATGCTACGGTACCAGGTGTGTTCAAGATTTCCGAAAGGTAGGGAAATGCTACGTGGTTATCGATCCCGGATAAGAATGTAAATTTCTTGTGCGGAGAAGTGAAACTGTTACTGGGATTACAAAAAATATATTGATATGATCCTGTGAATAATTTTAAATTTTATTAAGACTTTTATATGTAGCTGCAACTTGGTAGTTGTGTTACTGGTATGCTGGTGATGTTTATTCCACCTCAGTACAGCATAAATCGTCTGCTTATGTACTACTTTAAATTTGTGATGCATCCAACTAGGAATGTTTCTCATTGTCATGGGGATTATATTTATGGGAAAATATTGTATATAATATTGTTTTATATACCTTTATATAAAAAAGTGTACTCCTATTACTTATATAAGACGAGGGAGATAGAGTACCCCAAAAAAATTACTGTACATATGTAAGTGACAAGGCATGCAGAGGCAGAATGACAAAAATTGTCAAGAAAAATAATATATTAAAATTACTTCAATCAAATATCTACAAATAATAAAAACTTAGCATTCCAACTATTCCTTGGCCAAAAGTTCTCCATGCCAAATGAAGACGCACCAAGGAACAACAAAGAGTAATAAAAGTCCTGAAAACGTGTCGAAAAGGTAACGGTAACTACAATAACATGATATGATAAATAAATTATAAGGGACAACAAATAGTAACAAAAATTAATATCTTATTTAATTACTTCTTTCCGTTACCTATTCAACTATCTCTACTCAGAGGTGAACTCATGATTTAAAGACTTTTGGTGCATCAATATTACTTTTTCAGCTACTTAAAATAAAAATAGTGAAATAAGCTTCAACTAGAAAATGTGGTCTCATGGATAATTCCTCTAGCTTGTACCAACAACACAAAGACACTTAGACTGTTAATTATATTTTAGTTTCTGTTAGTTTCTCAATATATATATACACGAAGTTAATGCACCTCCATTTACAAGTGTGGGTTCGTCTCTGTCTTTACCTCTACTGAAACCATCCATAGTCAACCTCTCGCACATCTACATTGGGTTATCCAAGCATCTCTTCTTTACATATTCAAATCATCTGAATTTCACCAATCGTAATTTATCTTTCACCGAGATCACTCTCATCTTATCAAATCTCTCTGTATCTCTATCTTCAATTTTGCAATATTTTTACTTTTTAAACTCAAAAATTTTATCCGATCAACACTCCACTCCATATAACATAATCGGATCCACCCCTACTTCAATCAAATATATTTTAAAATAATAGAGCTTAGTATTCCAAATATTCCTTGTCCAAAATAACAATAAGTTATGAGAAAATAATAATGACGAAAATGTATACGTAAGAAAAAACAAAAGGAAACAGAAGCAAAAAAGAACTGACCCAGACAAGACAAGGCATAAGGTTAATGGGCCCCTTATTGACACAGACTATACAACAACTTTGAACGGCCCACATAAACGTGGGCCCATAATCGTGAACAACACGCATTGGACCGAACCAATCACAAAGCAAGTACATAAATGGGCCGACAAAAAACACAGGAGCCCACGTGCATTGGACAGGTAACGTGGGCCCAACATTGGACTTTATGTCAAATCATAGGGTCAGTTCAAGTAGAAGTTTACTCCGATGTAATTAACTAGTACTACAAGTTATTTCAGAAAAAAAAAATGAAAATTTCTCCACGTTATTTTATTTGTCTTATTTTGATTTGCATAAGATATAATTTAAAGTATGTCATGTAGAAAATTGAAAGTAATAAAGACTACTAAAAAAAAAAAACATTGTTTTATTAATAAACAATGAGAAATAAGATAAACGAAAAAAATTCTTGATAAAGAGTGTTTTCCCTCGAATGGGTCCCTATACCACACGAATTTGGAATAGTTAGATTCCAATGCGGATATCAATCAACGGGTGAAAATAAAAATGAAGAAATAGGAAAAACAAATTAATACAGAGGGAACATGATAATATTGACTTGAAAAAAGTTTTTAAAATTAAATTAAATAATTTAAAATTTATAATTTAACAAATAATTATAAATATGATTATAATTAACTTTTCAAGAAAAAAAATGAAAAATAAACTTTATCTAAAGACAAGCTTGATAAAAGAATAGATCACTATAAAGGAAATATTAGAGAAATTAAAAAATAATTTTCGCTTGACTTGAAACTAGTATTCGTATCTTAGAAATGAAATAAATTCAATAATAAATGTCTTATTCCCTTTAATACACCTATTTGATACTAATTTAGATAAGATGAGAAATCAATTTTGAATATCGGATGATTAAATAAAAAAAAAAACTTTTTTATATGAATGAAATTATAGAAAATAGTTTTTGACTAGTCATAGTATGCATAGCGTGAGGGATTCTCGTACTAGTTTCCTTTTAGACAAAAAAATATGAAGTAATAGTAATAGTAATGTGATATATTCATATTCTTTTTGTGTATGGGAACCTCAAAAGTATATGAAAATGACAGCATTCATCTGACTACTCTACTCCCTTTCTCTTGTCTTATTTCCTTTGTTTATTTTGAGTTAATTTCATTTTTACTTATTATACTTTACGAGCTCGATGCTGAATTGATTTTCAGATAATCAGTTGAGTATATCATAATTGACCGCATCATGAGCTAGCCTATACATCCACTGCACGAGTAGTCAAATTCTCTTCAATAAAATTACAGACTCGAACACTCAAATAGTTATTATTTTTTTAAGAAAAAAGTGTAAATTTTTAAAATAATAACAGAGTGATCTACAATTGATTTGTGTGACAAGAGATGACAATTTCTATATAGCATGAGAGAGTATTTTGTCTCATGTTTATTTGAGATCTTTACGTTGAAATTAATAATTTTGAGATTGTTTGTATATGCATAGATATACTTTCTGACACATTTATATAAAAATCGTTATATTATTTTTATATCACAATTATTGTGGGTGAAAAAGTCAAAAAGATAACTATTAGAAAATGAGAAACTAGCAACGGACAAATGTCATAATTGAATAGCAAAACCTAATGTCTAATTCCATTTAGCTATGGATTAGCGATGTATTAATATAAGAAAATTCAATTAAAAGAAGTGTTTTTAGCACCAGATTAATTGGAAATTATCGACAAATTATGTTGTTAATTCCATGTTTTCTTGTAGTGAATTACCAATAAAAGTATATTCATTAAATAATCTAATTACATTATTTAATATCCATATAATAATATCAATATTAAAATTTTGATATAACTTGTTCACCATTCAAACAAACCAGATCAACGAGTAGTATTAATATGTCTACCTATTAAACCATTGTGCATTGCAACTATTTCACTCTTTTGATCATAGTAACAGTGAAAAGAAACAATTGGGGTGAAAAAAGATCAAGAAGAAGATAATGTTAATTAATTCACATTAATCAAGATTTATTTGTTTAGGGTTAGCGGTACAACTATAAAGTATTTTCTTTTAACAAACTCGTATAAACGTGCTTGGATCCACAAGAATTCTTTTGGAATTATTTGATTTAGTATAGAGATTGATGAAATATAATATTATTTATTCATTATGAGGATATATATAATAAATTAATGAAAGAACCAATTGTATAAACGTATATAGCTAAAAGACCACAAATAATATATTTTTTAAATCGAATTTCAAACTTAGAGCTCAACTCAAATACATGTTGCTAAATTTGAGCACGGATTTTGTTGGAATGTGTAATCAACTCATTAAAATTAATAATCTAAACATATAAATACACTTACAAAAAAAAAAATTATCATTTCTTTCAACTGTGAATTTGAATTTTTTTTTCATGGGCTAAGCAAGTGATTTTTCTCAATAACGAATAACAGTGAGACTCATAATCAAGACCTCCGCATGCTTTAATACCAAAATTTGACTCATATCAGAAAGTAACCTAAGAAATAATTACTTGAACTACCCTTCGAAGAAACTATCACATTTGTTTGAATTAATAAGAGCTTGAAGCATCAAATTTCAATGATTGAATTGTTTATATTTTTTAGACCATTTGATATTCGTTGGTCCGATTAGTTTAGATTTATGTTATTTATAACCCATTAAAAGGGAATTACGTTCTCTACAAAGTAAGAATTATTTTACTTCCAAGGCTGACAAATCACACAAAAAATAGAAATCGCATTTGATAATTGAGTCTGTTGTGACTTGTGACTCAACTTAAAAGCGTCGGTAGAAGAAATCGATTTTTGATCGTTGTACCAACTCAGCCACCCTTAT